ACTGAATCCAACGTAAAAAGGTGAATGCTACCAGAATAATTGTATTCTTGTATCATACCCGGTCTCCTTCGACCTACCGTTCCCTGATTCCAATTATGTTGTGACCTACTCACAACCTCGCGAACTGGGCCACCCTGGCCTAAGTCATCCAAACGAATATGTGAATGCTACGGCTACACCCGCAGACTTACAACACTCCAACACTATCCAACAACCTCGTAAATGCTACGGCTACACCCACATACTTAGAACTCTCCCACCCTAACTGTACATTAGTGAATGCTACGGTTCCCCCGTAGTCTTACAACACTTTCACCCGTGCTTCTGTCCTGGATACATGAGTGGTTCTCCCCCACTTAGATTCAACTAAGTCTGCTCGGCACATAAAAATTGAAGGATTCCTAATCCTCCTTACGTTCCAATACTCACCCTGCTGACGATTGGTGCTTACCAAAGCTAGTGCACCAAAAGTAACTCTTCCCAAAACAACACAACTTCTGAAAACCAACTAAAACTTCTTGAATCCCAACCACGTCAATGACTCCAGATGCTAAAAAAATGATATCACGCTCAAATCTCGAAGTCCATAGGACGGATGGTCTAACCAAAACCTCAGCAACAACTCTCTCTTCCCTCGGCAATCTCGATGGCTCTTCCAAACACAAATACTAAGGCTTCTGAAACTAGTTATGATTCCCTTGCATAAGCCCTTGATCCAATCCCGACTACACCCAAGATGATATTCGAATACTGGGAATCTGTTGTATATAAGGAGGCGACCCCGTGCTACTCCACCAAAGATCCATGGTATGCAGATGACACATGACTCTTCTTGAACATAATCAACTCAACCACTAACGGAGATAACAACCCCAAAATAACTGGAGCAGATGTACTAACTGCTCCTCTCTGATCATCAGACAGTCGACCTCCTTGGCGCCCACTTGATCACAACGAGAATATAACAGGCTTGCTCTCTGTGGGCAATCCCTGCTAATGTGGCCGAAACTGCTACACCTGTAGCAACCCAGATCACTGAACAGATTCTGACAATGACTCGGAGCAATCACGGTACCCGAAGAACCCGTTCTGCGAGGTACTTCGTCTGAAGATTCCTCAAAGATTCCCTGACATGATGACTGGCATCTGAAAACTCTTGCTAACTCAGACAATAGCAGATAACCGACCCTGATGAAATGAGAAAATTCAGTAAACCTAGACTAGAATAGTCCAAGTGTTGAAAATACTGAAATAAAGTTTCAGAATCGTCAAGTGGCAAGTAGTGCGGAAAATAAAGAGTTGTGAATCAATCAAGTTAATAGAAAAACGTTTTTTAATGTTCAAAATCAATGATTCAAATGTTTCTCATATTCATGAAGTTTCAGTTACAAGTGTTTGAATGATAGACAAGCTAAAACACTCAAATGGCTCTCTGAAGACTAATCTAAACAGCAATTGTGCAGAATGTTCTGAAATGAGCAAGGAAGAGCAACTTTATAATGGATCCCAAGGGGCCTATTTATAGGCTTTGGAAAAGCCCATGACATGGCTTGACCAATCAGGTGTTGACACGTCATCATGACTTAGTCATCAGTTGACACCTTTGCCCTACTTAACGGAGAATGGATGGAATATTCCAATTCCGTTAGTATTCCGTTAGGGTTCCATCCAAGTTATGAGTCTACATAATTCTTGAACCTTCTTGATCAACATTGAAAATGTTATGAGCAACATGAACATCATGTTGTTCAATTGTCTTCTTAGATGTCATCAACTTCCAAAAGTGTTGTTGATCATGTTGAGTAGTTTCTTGAATGTTGGACTATGTCTTGAACTTGAAGATGTACCACCACATGTTCATGATGGGTCATGGACGAAATTCATGTTCCTTTGAGAATTTGGACGTGCCTTCATCGTACATGATGTGCCATGTGCAGTCTTGTTGAGTCATCAATGTGATCATGTTGATCCATTGACTTGAGTTGAGCCACCAAGTATTCTTGTTGAGTCATCAACTCTTGTTGAGCCATAGAGTTGTGGATGAGCCAACAATGTTACTGATGAGCCATCAATATTCTAGATGATCCATCAATGTCTTGATGCTCCACATATGATCTAGATGTGTCATCTGAGATCATGATGATTCAACTAGCTTTCAGCAAGTGATCCATGTCAACAGCAGATGCTCCATGTTCAACTTCAAGTGCTCCAACATCTGATTCTTCAAACACTTGTTGAACCTTTAGTATCTTTCCAACCTGAAACATTCTGATAATGTTTGTTTGAAAATGTAAATCAATACTCAACTTATTTCAAGTGATAATCACATCAAAATATTTTTCAACAGTTTCCCCCTATGTGATGGTTACTGAAATAAGGAGTTTTAAAAGTGTGCGAAAGGAAAAATATTAATTTAACATTTTCCCCCTCTGCTTCAATGGAATTTTCTGTTGAAGCAGATACACAAAAAAACTTTAAAAATTATTCGAGAGAATTTGTTTCTCGAACTTGAAAGATTTTCTTAAAGAAAATTTAACTGTCAATGTGACAAAAAAAATTGGAATTGTTAAAAAAATGTTCGAATTTGCGTGATCTAGACAAAAACTTGTTTTGTCAAGATAGGAAAGTAATCTAACAGATAGGAATAACTTGCAAACTCGTGTTGTGTTTTATTTAGGCCAGAAGTTTGAAGAAAAAATCAAGTGTTGAATACCAATGAAAAACTTGATCTTTTTCGACAAACGAGTGTTATGATAAAACAAAAATAAAACTTTGATATTTTGCTAAATCATATCAATGAGTGTTATGATAAAACAAAGTTGTTAAGTCTTGACCTTAAAAGACTATAACATATCAAAAAAAAATTGAAAGAAAAGAATTTTTTTTTTTTAATCACAAATGATATTTTCAAAAATATGTTTTTTTTTTGTTTTTTAATTATTATGGATATCTTTTAGAACCCAAGAAAAATAAAAAGATAAAACTTTAAACTTTGGTTACTTTGATTTAAAATTGGCTATAAAAGATATCTCAAAAAAAATAAAAAGAAATAAAATATTAAAAAAAAACGTGTGTGAAAAGAAAAAAAAATTGTGCATGCAAAGCCACATACACCCAACACATGTTTCTTTTGTGACACCTAGACCATCATAATTGAGTTATTTGCTCTTATGTTCAAGTGTCACAAAAAAAGGCGTCACAAAAGGTTTGTTGCATAAAACACGTTGTATAGGGCTCGGAAGGAAAGACCCACAATGAACTTAGGGTTTTAATGCTTTGACGTGAATGGATATCCTCCAAAGAATTAGGTAGAATCGGCTGGAGATGTGCTCCGATTGTTCTTTGATCATCAATGAGCTAGCTTTCTTGATTGTTCACAGGACGCTGGTGGTGGACATGCTGTGATCATCATGTTTTTATTATTATTATTTTTTTTTGACTTGAGAAACAGTGAGTAGATCACTTTGGTTCCAATGTGCATGTGGATGCTTGACGTACATGTTGTTCATGAGAGCGAGGCAAGCAACAACAGAAAAAGAAGGGTGCTTTTAATTGGTTTGAACCAGCAAAAAATAACGTACGATGCTGCCATGCTTGAAAGTGCTGGTATGTGGGTACGTTATTGACGATGGTGCATCAGATTGAGTCAAGTACGCTGCCAAGAAGAGAAGAGGGGGTCTGCTCCTCCGATGACCAAAACCGTCGGCATGGAGATGGTTCTTTTTGCAAAGGAGGTGCATGGTGTTAAGTCGTGTGCATGACACATCCAAGCAACAAAAGAAAAAAAACTTTATTGTGATTAGGTGTGTGTTCTTGGATTATCTGAAAAAAAAGATACACAGAGCACAAAGCACTGGATGGGGAGGGTACACTTGAGTTTGATACTCGTAGGTAGTTGATGCGTCAAACCCTAATAAGGTTGATGGTCCCATCGACTATGATGATGATGCGCCAATAAATCAATGATGTGCACATCGGCTGAGATGGTGACTTACTTAGAAGTTGTGCAAATAAGATGATGACACAACAGATGAGGAAGGTGCACCAAAGCTGTTTGATGTGGTTGCGCTAGGGCTGTTTATCACTAGGGCGATGCGTCAAGATTGGGGTGAAACCAAGAACGTGTTGGAGACCCGATGATGCACCAAGGAAATATTGCTAAAAAAACATTATGATGGGTGAGTGATGCTACAGCAGAATCACAAGAAACAAGGAAAGAATATGATCAGAAGATCATGTCTACTGATCGAAAACTAAGAAGAAAAAAAACTCAATACTTAAGAACAAAGAAGCAAGGCTCACTAGATGATCATAGATGGTAATGAGCCAAGAGTATCAATGAGATGTGCCAAGAGTATTAATGAGATATGTTAAGAGATATTCACAGTGAAGATGGCACACCTGAACATGGAATGATCAATTCATGGTTGGGTACTATATTTAAGACGTGATGCTCACCAAGTTGTCAAATGAAGATCCAAGATGAATGATCGACAGGATCACGATAGGCTTGATGATCATGTATTACTGATCAATTAAAACGAAGATGAGATATGATAGGGTGCTCTCAACAGATCGTCAATGGTGATCAAGTGATGATTTGCCAAAAAAAAAAAAACTTTGGATGGTCACTAGGAAATTGTTGATGCACCAAAGAGTTTGATCAGGAAGTTGCGCAGAAAGGTATGTTGCTCATGGGAATGTGGATGGCGCAAGATGGAGAGTGGCCCACGAGAAAGGATGTTGGCGCAAGAGGGATTGTTGTGGCGCAAGTGGAAGTATATGGCTCAAGAAGAATTGATGGGGCAGGAAGGATTATGTTGGCTCAAGAGGGTAGTCTCAATGTTACTTGATGATCACGAAGAAAAGAGATTGAGCAAGAGAGACTAGATGGTTCAAGAGGGTAGTCTCGATTTTACTTGATGATCACGAAGATACTCGTGGGTCAAGAAGGGTTTCGATTTTATTTGATGAGCAAGACATTTCAAAATCCTTGTTGATCATGAAAAAAAAATTGTGAGGGTCAAGAGGAGTTGCGTTGATGAGGCAAGAAGGAAAAGGCTCAAGAGGGTTTCAGTTTTTATTGATGGCTCAAGAGGACACTCAAAATCCTTGTTGATCACGAATGGATTAAGAGGGCACATAAAATCCTTGTTGATCACGAATGGATCAAGAGGGCACACAAAATCCTTGTTAATCACTAATGGCTCAAAAGGGCACGCGAAATCCTTGTTGATCACTAATGGCTCAAGAGGGCACACGAAATCCTTGTTGATCACAAATGGCTCAAGAGGGCACACAAAATCCTTGTTGATCATGAATGGCTCAAGAGGGCACACGAAATCCTTGTTGATCACTAATGGCTCAAAAGGGCACACGAAATCCTTGTTGATCACTAATGGCTCAAGAGGGCACACGAAATACTTGTTGATCACTAATGGCTCAAGAGGGCACATAAAATCCTTGTTGATCATGAATGGCTCAAGAGGGATTTCGAAATTAGTGATGGCTCAAGAGGGCATTCAAAATCCTTGTTGATCATGAATTGCTCAAGAGGGCACACAAAATCATTGTTGATCATGAATGGCTCAAGAGAACACAAAAACCTTGTTGATCATCAATGGCTCAAGAGGAATTTTGAAATAAGGAATGCTCAAGAGGGGATACAAAATCCTTGTTGATCACGAATGGATCAAGAGGGCACACAAAATCCTTGTTGATCACGAATGGATCAAGAGGGAATTTCGAAATTACTTGATGATCAAGAGAGGGTTATTAAGGATCAAGAAGAATTTCGAAATAAGGAATGCTCAAGAGAGATTTCGAAATTAGTAATGGCTGAAGAAGGGTTTCGAAATTAGTTGATGGCTCAAGATGGCACAAAAACCTTGTTGAACATGAATGGCTCAAGAGAACATAAAAACCTTGTTGATCATGAATGGCTCAAGAGGGATTTCGAAATTACTTGATGGCTGAAGAGAAGGTTGTTGAGGATCAAGAAGTATTTCGAAATAAGTGATGACTCAAGAGGACATCCAAAATCCTTGTTGATCACAATTAGGGTTTGTTGAGCCAAACTAGGGTTGTTGAGCCAAACTAGGGTTTTGAGAGAAACTTGTAGCTCAAGAAGGGATTTTCGAAAATAGGATGGTTGTTGAGCCAAACTTGCTGTTGTGCCAAGGCTGCTTCTTGCTTCTCACCAACTTAAGTTCCTGTTGCATACGCAACTGTTGCTCACGAAGCCTTGTTGCTCCAAGCGAGTATGAAAGTAAGAATTTGTGAGAGAGTGAAAAAGCAAGAATGAGAAGTAGAAGTGAGGTATTTATAGTTGAAAGGTTCTAGGGTTTCTCAATGGGCCGAAATAAGGCTTGCATGGGCCAATAAGTGGACCCATAAGGCTTGGATGGTACTCAAGTATAAATAGGAGAATTTTAACTTGAGTCGCGAGCGCGAGAATGATGCCTTGAGAATCAAGAAGGAAAAGGTGGTGCATGCATGGATGTTATCTTTGAGACGTGCATGGCGCCTAAGGAAAGATCTACTTGAAACGTGCATGACATACTTGACATGTGCATGACCTACTTGAAACGTGCATGGCTCACTTAAGATGTGCATGATCTACATGAAATGTGCATGGCTCATTTGAGATGTGCATGATCTACATGAAATGTGCATGACACATTTATTATGCTCTATGTGGACTTAATGAACCACATGGGTGTGATGCATCAACTGGCTGAAGATGCTTCTAGCTGTGATCATGAGCCAATGTTCTTGATCATGCTCCAATGTTTTTGAGCATGGTCCAACGTTTTTGAACATGCTCCAAAAGACTGACGATGCTCCAAGCCAGACCAAGAGATCAAGATCTTTCAAGTTGGTGAAGTTTCTCCGAGATACTTCCAGTTGATCGAGATGATGAAGATATTCCAAGATGCCTCAAGATGGTCAAGATGATCAATATGATCAAGTTCATGAAGATGGTCCAACATGCCTCAAGATGGTCAAGATGATCAAGATTATCAAGTTGATGAAGGTGGTCCAACATGCCTCAAGATGGTCAAGATGATCAAGATGATCAAGTTGATGAAGATAGTCCAAGATGCCTCAAGATGGTCAAGATGATCAAGATGATCAAGTTGATGAAGATAGTCCAACATGCCTCAAGATGGTCAAGATGGTCAAGATGATCAAGATGATCAAGTTGATGAAGATGTGTCATTTATTCGTCCATTTGGTCCAAAGATGAGGAGATGGTCTAAGATGGTCCAAGTTTTATGTTGTTGCTTCAAATTTGGTCCATGTTCTTGAAGCTGTTCCATATTGGTCCAAGAGCACGAAGTTGCTTCAAGATGGTTCTTTAAGGCTTTTGATTTTGAACTTCTTCACAATGTACAAGAATGCTCCATAAACCAAGACAGACACATATGGTTTTCTTGAAGAGGACGATCTATTGTCATAAGATGCTTCACTTGGCTAAGGATGTTCTATGATCAAGTAAGTGATATTCTCTATCTTACTTAGCTGCTTTACCTAGATTCTAAGGCATGAGTTAAACAGAAAGTATAAAAGTGCAAACACTGAATAATCTAACTTTGAAAGTGATGTGTGTGCATATGGATAGAGAATCTGAGAAGGAAATAGTAAAATGCAGTGAAGTGTGTGCATGTGGAAACAAGAACTTTAAGGAAACACTTATTGACTGAATTAGAGACATTGAGGATTATCTGCTGTTACTTACAGATTTATCAAGCAACTAAATTCTGTGTTTGATTCTTCACTTCGCATTGTAAAGAATTCCCTTGTGGATTATTATGTTTTGAATTCCATAACATCACACAGAATAACCTGATTTGTACTCACCAATTATGTTTCACCGCAATGCGTATATTTCTGTCGAAGACCTAGTTACTTCCCAAGCCCTAAATACTGACAATCCTCATAAACGTACCCCAATTATTTTGAACAACATTCATTTTTGGCATTCCTACCACCTATACCTTTTTATTGACCCCTTTCGTTGCAAAAGGTATCGCCAAATTCCAAGTGACACGACTTCAGAAGAAAAAAATAATATATATAATAGTTGACCTAAGAATATAACTACACTTTTGATTTTGATTTTTTTTTGATTTTTTTTTGATTTTTTTTTTTTGATTTTTTTTTGAATCTTTTCTTATAACTCTAACTTTGACAAAGTACACAAGAAAATAATTCTTAGCTTTACTTCTATTTGTAATTTAGTTCATGACTTTCTAAGAAATTCATTGGAGTGCTCGAAATCTCTTAGGTCACTAATGGAGTCCATGACTTTCTATGAAAACCCATGTAGCCGACTCCTTCCCGGTCCGATCCGCGTTAATGTACTGTAGGTGGACAGATTTTCAATATCCCGTGGGGTTTACTGGCCGAGTTCTCATAGGTCACAGATTGACTCCACTCCTGAACTATAACTTATTTAATATATAACTAGACTCAAAGTGCAGAAATGAAACATATAAATTGGAACTTGACTCTCATTGTGTTAACTGAGAAGCTTTTTATTTGGTATAGATATTCACAAAGCAAAACTTTTTATGTCCATCAAACTACACAAGTTCGCGTTTTTGTCTCATGAGTTCACTAGGACAGGGAAGCCACAAATATACTATAACACATTGGTTTAACTAAACCTTAGAGTTCGCCTCAAATTATTCCACATAAACATTAGTACTTGATGTATGTTATAACTCTAAGTAGAGTATAACCATGAAGCTAGTTAATGGTCAGTAAAGTACCAATATTAGTTGTGTACTGAAGCAAACTGAAGAACCACAGAATTTAGTATTTTGAAAAATCATTAAAGTGTGGAGCAACTAACCTTTTTCATTTGCATAGTTGTGATGACAACTTGCATTTTCCTAACAAAAATAAAGTTAAAATCTTCTTGGTATTTTCTTTTGTTTAAAGTAAAGACACAATACAGAAAATAAAATCTTTTTGTAGTTTTCTTTTATGTAAAGTAAAACTGTAAAATCTTTTTGAGTTTTTTTTTTTTTTTTTTGAAAAAGTAAAGCAAAAAACAATAAATTAGAAATAAAATATTTTTGGAGTTTTCTTAAAAAAGTGAGAAAGAAAAAGTTTTCAAATGCCTAGAGAATCTGGATTAAGCATGCCAAGTCGTCCTAGAAAGTGTAAGAACTTGGATTCATCCAGAGCTTTGGTGAACACATCTGCAGTCTCTTCTTCTGTAGGAACAAAATGAAGCTCAATATGACCTTTTTGAATATTATCTTTAAGGAAGTGATACCTGATATCAATGTGCTTGGTCATTGAGTGGTTGACTGGATTGTGAGAGATTGCAATTGCACTCTTAGAGTTACAATAGATTGGGATCTGTTGCATTTTGAATCCATATTCTCTCAGTTGTGTTTGCATCCAGAGCACTTGAGAACAACAACTGGCGGCAGCAACATACTCAGCTTCAGCAGTAGAGGTTGAAACACATGTTTGCTTCTTTGAGGTCCAACTGACCAATCTACCTCCTAAGAATTGACAGCTACCAGAAGTGCTCTTCCTGTCGAGCTTGCATCCTCCATAATCTGAGTCAGTAAAGGCTTGGAGATAGAAGTTGCCTTTAGCAGGATAGAATAGACCCAGAGAAGCTGTTCCTTTCAGATATTTGTAAATTCTTTTGACTGCAATGAGATGTGATTCCTTGGGATTGGCTTGAAAGCGTGCACACAGACATGTTGAAAACATGATGTCTGGTCGACTAGCTGTAAGATACAGTAATGAGCCAATCATTCCTCTGTAGTGTTTCTGATCTACAGATTTCCCATCAAAGTCTGAATCAATCTTGTAAGATGTTGACATTGGTGTCTTTGCAGATGATGCATTCTCCATGGAGTATCTCTTCGACAGATTTTTGATGTACTTCTCTTGACCAATGAAGATTCCCTTAGGAGATTGACGAATTTGTAGACCTAGGAAGTAATTGAGCTCACCCATCATACTCATTCTAAATTTGCTTTTCATCAACTTAGCAAACTCATCACTGAGGTCCTTGCTGGTTGAACCGAATATGATGTCATCGACGTAGATCTGCACGACGATAAGATGATTGTTGTGGATTTTCCTAAAGAGAGTGGGATCGATAGAACCTCTTTGAAATTTGGATTCTTCCAAGAATTTGGACAGTGTTCCATACCATGCTCTTGGAGCTTGCTTTAATCCATATACAGCCTTTTGAAGCTTATAGCAATGGTTGGGGGACTTTGGATCTTCGAATCCAGGAGGTTGTTGAACATAGACATCCCTATCGATTTCGCCATTTAAGAATGCACACTGCACATCCATTTGGTAGACCTTAAAATTCTTGTGTGCAGCAAATGCCAAGAAAATCCTAATGGCTTCTATTCGTGCAACAGGTGCAAAGGTTTCATCATAGTCTATGCCTTCTTGTTGCGAGTAGCCTTTGACAACCAGTCTAGAT